CAGAAGAACTTACTCTTCCTTATTTGTGTCCCGTCACCCTCCACCCCATCTTTGCTTATGCTGCTCTGTCTCTGTTCCTTTAAATCCTCTGTGTCCTTGAAGGAGCCCCTCAGGTGATACTTAACCCCCAAAAGGAAGAATGTAATCTCTTCCCTTTGAAGCTTTATAATCATTTACCTTTCCATTTATCACAATCTGTTTTTTAATCTTTTTCTTCTCTACTTAAGTGTAAACTACCTGAGGTCTTCATTTTTCCCATCTGCTCATCAATTTTATTGTACTATGTAAATTTACAAAGTGGGGCCTTCTTCTAAAAATAGAAACCCAACCTGAAATCTGTTTGAAAGTAACTGCTTTGTTCCCCCCCTCAAGTCAATGACACCCTTGATGATATCTTTGATGGCTCTGATGATGAAGAAGAAAGCCAAGATATTGTGAATCAAGTTCTTGATGAAATTGGAATTGAAATCTCTGGAAAGGTATGAACATCTAATTTTCTCATTCAGAAATATTTTCTCTACCACTTTTGTCACTTAATTAAATTTCCCTTTATGTTAGGTGCGTGTTTTCAATATTTGTTTGGAAAGTAAATTAAACCTCTTTGCAGCACATCCTTTATGTTCTAACCCAAAAGTTTGATAATATAATGCACATTTTTTTCTCTTTTCCTCTTTTTAATGTAGATGGCCAAAGCTCCATCAGCTGCCCGAAGCTTACCATCAGCCTCTACTTCAAAGGCTACAATCTCCGATGAAGAGATTGAACGGCAACTCAAAGCTTTAGGAGTAGATTAATCAAAAAAAGCCATTATATTTTGCCTATCATAATTTAGTATAAACCAGGCACAGTGCAGATTCCTTTTACAAAATACATTTATTTTGCAAAAATGAAGACCATGAGTAAACGGTTGTTTCCTAGCCCATGGCTATTTTGAATCTTTTGCCAAAGAATGACAATGATGCAAAATGGAAACAGTCTGGATTTTAATTAGAACTGTTTGGGGGTGATGATGTATAAAAAGTTAACTTTTCTGCATGGCATAGAGAATTATATTCATTACTTAGTGTTGTTTATGTTCTAAATCTTTTTACACTGAATACAAATTTTGTTAAAGCCACTAGGCACCAACTTAAAGAGACTTGTAAAAATATTAAAAGTAAATCATTAATTCTGTATCTGTTACTTGTCCTTTGTAAGTGATGTGTTATGACCACAGGCGATTTGGCTGCCAAATTATTTTTAAATCATCTAAAAGAAGAGTGCTATTTAAACATCTGTCTTAAACAAAAACCATTATGAGCTTTTCTTCTCTCTTTTTTTTTTTCCTTTGGGAGAACATTCTAGTTGGTAAGTTTATTACCTTTCAAAATATGCTTGGCACCTGCCTTAAACAGCACAAACATATTGTGCACATATTTAAATTATTTTAACTGACAGTAAAGAATTACAATTTAAACTCAAATTGAAGCCTCTTACAAAAATTATCCAGGCTCTTTTTTGTAAAGCTTATAAAAGTGAATGTAATTAGCAAAAAACAGACACTGAATTAATAGCATTTTATAGTAATAAAACAGTATATTTTAGTCTTTCTTCCAAGAACTGAAGAGATTTTCTCCACATGAATTAGAATTTAGTCACTTTAACTTTGAACCGTGTTTAAGATGTATTGAACCCTCTAAATCAAAGCCATCATTCCCAATTAAATAACACTGTTGTGATAGAACTCAACCTAAATTTTAAAATAAAAATTAGCATTTTTTTCTTGGTAAATAAACTACAACCATGTCAGAAATTACTGCCTGAATGTGTATTAATGTATTAGCTGTATTTTTTAAGGTGAAGTTGATATGGTATTTAATGTATGTATGGAAAGTAAGAGGAAAGAAGAAGTGGCAGATGAGTTAGGTAGAACTTAGAATTAGGTGAGTTTTGAAAAATGATGTCATATGTGGGCTCTAGCTCATCCCACCACAAAAACTCTGGAAGAGATCTGATAGTTGTAACCCCGTTAATTTGGGAGAATGGATATTTCAGACTAATAATGATAATGTAGATACATTTTAGGATTAGTACACATGGCATATGGATTGGTGGGAAAAACAAAAACTGAAACTGTATAGTTTATAATCCACAAACCATTTTATAGTGTTCAAAGATAAGGTTCCTTTATTGATAGTATCAAATACAGTTACCCTGCACCGTGATGGGTCAGAACCTTCCATGGATTATGGGATGTTAACCCAGAACTTGTTTTGAATCTTGGATGTACATAATACTGCCAGCTAACTTTATTTACTTTCTTGTTTACATGTGGGGTTTTTTGTTTTTAAAAATTATTTTGTTAAAAACCAATAAAGATTTATTGCTATTATACTTTCTTTTCTTCTGTCACTATTTTTTGGTTTCTGCTAAAGTTAAAAATTTTATGCATATCTGGTAATTTTTCAAAAGAATGATTTTTATTACTTTCTTGGAAGGACAAATTACTATGCTATTTGTGTTTTAATAGTAATTGCTTTTTTAAGAATTAGCACTTGGTAAGGACTGAGGTTTATGAATGGAATCATTTTAAGGATTGATGATTTCACATGAAATTTATTGGATAATATCTTCTGGAACTTCCAGGGGATAACTTTTTAAATATTATTTTTAAACAGGTCTTAGTGGGTTTTCTGTTTGTTTGTTTTAATTTCAGTCAAACATGGATGCCACGGAAAACTTTGGGATCCAAAGGAGAGAGTAGAGTCTTCTGATTTGGCTACATTTATAAAATGCTTCAGTGGCACTTTTCACAATCACTATAAATTTGTGATGTTATGGTATCCTTTGCTAAAAACAAAACTTTATTTTGATTCCTTAAGATTAGGAAACAAGGATTTTTAAACAGTGAGTTTAACAAATATATTGTTTTTTTAATATTTTATTTATTTTTATTATTGTATTATTTAACTATTTTATTTTGGCATGGGGGAAGGTAATTATATTTATTTATTTTTAGAGGAGGTACTAGGAATTGAACCCAGGACCCTGTGCATGCTAAGCACGCACTCTACCACTGAGCTATACCCTCCCCCGAAAATGTTGATTTTTTTTTAACTTGATTGCCCTCATTTCCTACTTTTGGCAAAAAGATTTCATTAACAACTGTATTTAAACAAAAAGTTACCAATAAACAGAGGGCAGAGTTTAACAATTTGTCTGTCACTGAAAGGAATGCAGCGCAATACCATTCTGTTACGGGGTGTAAAAGTCATGGATGGAGATTTCAGAATATCAGAGAAGTCGAATGTGATTCGAAAATGTCAATACTGATGATGATAACACCTCGCCGTAGAAAACACGAAATCACCGCCTGTCAGATGATGGTGTTGCACAGACTGTCCTCTGAGCTCTGAGGGGAGCACCTGGTCATGGCAGGGGTAGTGGACACGGGTTCGAGTTTGTGATCCTCTAGAGCAGAGTGCGGGATTGCGGCCAGTGAGCTTTGTTATCTGACCTGCACAGTGATGGGTATTTTATTATGTGTATTTGAGTGCCTTTAGGAGAAGCCTGCACTCTCCCCTTGGCCACATGTACGTTCCTTACTAGCCCAGTAGCCACACTTCTAGCCTGCCCTCAGTGGTCCTCATTTAAATATGTACTCCTGTGTCAGACAGTCTTACGTTAAAAGGGTGAATGTCCGGGTCTGAAAAGAGACCTATGATGACTTTCTCCTCTAATGCCATTACCTACATGAATAGGGTTTTGAAGCTACAGGAAAACAGATCAACATTCCAATTTCCTCTCTGTAGAAGCTGAGTCCCATAAGGTGTGACCATTTCTATAACCTTAGTTCCTTCAAGAGTCAGTTGAGTTGAATTTGTTTTCCAGGAAGCCTGGGGATGATGAAGTCTGATTTCAGGTACTCAACTGTTGGAACAGTACACAGTCTCCCCCGTCCCCACCAAGCTACCCTCCCAAGAACTTGAACACAACACAAACACATACACAAACCTCCTGTCCCCAAACACTGAAAGTACTTCTTTTAACTAACCAAATATCTCCACCATTAGAGACGGAAAAGTAAATTATGTGAATGAATTTCTCAACCACCTCTATAGGGTAAAACTGAATATACCAATCTGTGTAAGTGGAAAACAGATCTTTCCATTTTAATGGAACTCTACTGAATTTCTGAAGATTTAGAACAAGAAGAGCTCACAAAAACGGAAAGGCTGTGTGGCTAAAGTCAGCTTTTGATGTTTATTCCCAAACATATGAACACATAGATACTGCACAGTAAGTTACATCTGTCATTTGCTTAATTGCACCTTAGGATTCTAAATAACAGTCATTTTCTAGTTTTTAGACTAATATCTATGAAAATATTATGTCCATATAATTAGAAAATAGAGGCTCAAAACTCATTTATACAAATGAGTTAATAGTAAATACCAGCACATTTACAACTAGTGAATAGCTAAATAAGAAATTGCTATTTCAATATTAAGTATTGATTCAAAATATTTTTTTAGGGAGAAAAATTGTTTTCCAATGTTTCTTGTACCTAAACTTAAAAAGAATGACCTATGAATGAATGATATTATGGTCTAAGCATACATATGTATGAAGACTAAGCATATATACATGCTTGTTTGTGCTGTATATAAAGTGAGATTAAACAGACCCAGCAGATCCATATTTTAAGTGCAAAAAGTCACTATTCTAGATATATATTGCATTACATTTTGCTTCTATTTGCAAGTTTCAAAGACATGCATGTATGTATTTTTATGTGTGTATGTATATACATTCTTCCCTGCCTTTTGCAAATTAAAGAATCACTTCCCCAAGTAATATATTTTTTAAGCAGGTGAAATATCAAGAGAAAAGTACTTGTAAATCCACATAGCTGACTAATTGGGAATTTACTCTTAAATAAGAAAAGACTTTATATATAAATATATATATATATGTATATGGTATATATATATATATGGTATTTAACTCCTCTTGGGTACAAGTTGCATGATTAAACATGGCTGATCAAGCTACTGAAAACTAAATTTTTTGTTGTTAATATATCAAAGTTTCTAGCCATCCAATTAATGCTGAGTATGTGTGCACAGACATGTATGATCTGCATAGATTATGGCCTGTGTAATGCATGGTCTTTATTAATATTATAAAGAGCAAGAGACTGGACAGTACAGTTTATTTAGTAAGCATTCTAAACAATAAAATTTGATCTAATTGTTCCCGTTTGTTATATAAAATAAGTTATATAAACATTGCCAGCAGATTTACATTCAAAATGCAAAAAAAAAATTTACTATTTGATAGTGATATCACATTACATAGTTTGCTTCTACCTACAAGGTTCAAAGAAATGCATTCTCTTTTTTCAAATTGAAGTATAGTTGATTTACAGTATTATGTTAATTTCAGGTGTACAACATAGTGATTCAATATTTTTATAGATTATACGCCATTTAAAGTGATTATAAAATACTGGCTATATTCCCTGTGCTGTACAGTGCACATTCTTATAAATTAAATAAATATATTCCTTAAGGTACAATTCCCTGAATTGCAAAGCTCAATATACCAAACTTTTTTATTAATAATAAATCATATTCTAACCAATTAAACCAAAAGTGATAGTCTTTTCTGATAGGACCCCAGATGATTTTCTAGTTAGAGATTTCCAAAAATAAGTTATATTATTAAATTAGACACCCTTCAAGTTTGTAGCCATTGTTAAGAGCACACCCCTTTGTTCATACAACAAAGATCGCATGCTCACTGTGATGAGACGCTTTCCCAGACGCCGGAGAAACCACAGCAAACAACCCGGACATCTCCCTTGCACCGTTGCAGCTTACAGAAATTGTAGTGTGGCCCAAGAATCCATGGAGTTTACTTTCCATAGCTAAACATCAAAAAGGCTAATGTCTGGGAAAAATAAAAACATCATAAATTAATATTTCTATAAATCTCTTTTGAAACACTTCTTTGGTCTCTATGCCATGAATGTTAACTTCAAAGGTGTCACTTCTGATTAAGATTTATTCCTACATGCAATAATAAAATTCTAAGGCACCTCTGGTTCATAAGTGCAAAACTTTTAGTTCAGAAAAACTATTAGAGATGATGCAAGCAGGATGTCAGTTAAGGACTTTTCTGGTTGGATCCTCTCTGATGATATTCTTTATGTGACATTACTGCCTGAAACAAAAAAGCAGATTTATAGCCTTTGGAAAAAGAACCTTTAAACTAGAAGACCCATGTGCACACTCATGTGTATGTGTGTGTGTGGAGAGAGAGACACTGGGAGAGAGAAAATCATTGTTTTATTCCTATTAGTCTTTGGCTTAAAATGTACAATGTGGCTTCAGAGAGTAATTCATCAATATAATTTAAACTGTATTTTTTAAACTAGAAAAGAATAGGTTCTACAAAAGTTACTGAAATATTTTTTTTGAAGCTAACCAAATAACTAATTCTATTTTGGCTGGAGAAGAGAAAGGAATGAAAAAATAGAAAACCTGGCTATTACATGACAAGAAACCTTATCTGCATTCAAGATGCTCCTTAGAAATAGTAAATAAACTCTGATTCAGACTTGTTTTCACCCGTTTTTCTCTTTGCCTTCGGTTGCAAAACCAAACCCTCACTACTTCTTTCTCCAGATTCAGTTCTTCAGCCATCCGCAGGATCTCTTGAGAGGAAGGTTTATTCTGTTCTCCAAAATGTCTCTCTAGAGCGTCTTTAGCAGCAATACTGGGAGGTGGGGAGATAAGGGGAAAGAAGAGAGGGATAAACTTTTTAGGGATGTTTTTAGCAGATCAAAATTAAGTTAGGTTGAATTTCCTAAATAATAACATAAAAAGGAAACTTAAAGACTCTGAAAATACCGTCAAAGCTCTTCAACAAAGATAAATGTTCAGTTTGTTGAACATAGAGGCTTATCTACTGTTAGCAGAGTCACAGGAAGAAGTAAGAAAGTGGGAGCCCCAGACTTTGTGTTTATCCCACTTTGTGCCACAAGAGGGCACTGACTTCCTGAGAAGGAAATAATTCTGTAGGCATTTCTAAATTTCCCCCAGAAATCATTTAGGTTACTTACAAGAAACGAAATCTTTAGTGTACAACTAACTGACCAAAACAAAACCTGCATTTTATCAATTCCTAAGTGAGCCTCATGGATTTTAGAAAAAGATCAATGAACAATCTTTCTGGTTTGAAATGCAAGGAGTCACCCTGAACTTAAAGAGACAGAAATACTGATGACTGATAACAACATAGATATATTGCCAGAGCAAGACCTGTACCTAAAAGGACAGTAGGAACAGTCACTCCTCTGGAAGTGATTGTTCAGTTTCTGTTTTATTCGACACTTGTAGAACAAAACTGTTCTTGAATCAAACAATACACAGTTTTCCATCAAATTTAAAAATTTCTAGCTATTTCCCACCATTAATTTATTAAATATTATGCTCTTTTTACCAATCTTGTTTTTTCAATTGACTCTATTCATTTTTATGTTCTATTCAGTTTATGCTTAAATGTTCATTCCATTTGTAAGATTCTTTTTCTTCTCTAGAAACTTTAAATATCTCAAAAGTATACCTGATAGTTGTTCTCCGTTTCCTTTTCCTTTCATTTGCTCCCACTTTCTCATTGTATAAAGCTGTGATGAGAAAAGAATGATTACAAAAACACAGTAGGTTTTTGTTTTAAACTGTCAGAACTGTACTTCAAGTTTTCTTTATAAAATGATGCGAAATAAAATCACCGTATACCTTTTTAAAAAAATTATTGTAGTCTATATCATTTTATATTCCAAGCCCTAGATTAAAATGTTAATGAGAAATAATAACTTTGTAAAAACAATTGTCTTTAATTCATATCCCTACCTCACTTTTGTTGGAACACTTGCTCTAAATGCTCTCAAACCTTGCTCTTTATCCAGCCTTGACATCAATATAAGAGGATCATTTTATCATATTAAAGTGCTCATCTGGCAATAAGCTTATGTTATTCACTAGGAAGACGGGTGTGCAAGCGCTCTGGCTGCACTGATACGAGGTTATAAAAATGATTTACGTACAATTACTACAGCACATAGCACAGAGGCAAAAAGGAAAAAAACTCTGCATGTGTTGGAAAAAATCATTTCACCGCTTCATACCTGTGCCATGCTCTCTAGAAGCTCTCCTTCTCCAGTTTATTCTCTCACTACTTCCTTTCCCGGTAAATTTCTTTCTACACTTGCATTGGCCTTACTTGTTTTCAGTGTGACGAAAGAAGACATTTATGTCTCATCTCAAGAGAAAAATCAAACCAAATGAAACCTCAAACCTCTGGCGTTAGCATTCATCCAACCAATGGACACCATTGTTTTTAGGCTGAAACACCACAGAGTCTTGAGAAACCCGGCTTTAGTACCTCCTACTTGCTCAGCTTCCTCCAGCCACTTGGATAATATTGCTTTTAGTTTGCACGCATTTTTGAAGCTGAGCTGCAGGTTTTCGAATCGGCATATAGTTGTTTGACTGAACTCCGAGCCATGCACGGCTGCGAGGGCTTCCCCAACGTTCGTTTGGGTGTAGCCTGTGAAACAAAACAAACACCCTGAGCTTCTGGTTTTAGAGAAGCATTCGTTTTGGTCCACCATCGCAGAAATCTGTGTAGCTTTTTTGGTCAACTGTTAAATACTGCTTTTAATCCTATATTTGTTGGCACTTTAGAATAACAGTAAGGTTCATTGTAGAATCATCCAGTATTGCAAAAAATATTCCTTCTCACTAATAAACTATTTGTTTAGAAGTTAAAAGAATTCAGATAGAAACATCATGATATTTAGCCAAATTGGTTAGATGTGTCAAACACTTTAGAAGACATTTTAAAATTCTCTCTTTGTAATTATTCTTAAAAATCTGATGATATGTGCTCAAAAATTGATTGTACATTAAATATAATGCATAAAGTATATGGTGATATAAATATTTTTATCTCAACTGTAAGAATGAAAAATCTAATATGTTGAAGGATATCAAATAAAACTATGAATTGTGTTTACTTTCATATTATGAGACTTTGACCACACGACATTTTATATATACCTCCAAGCATATTTATTATATCATTTGTTAATGCTTCTGTCTCCAGGCAAAAAATTCTCAAAGATTGTCTCAAACATTTTTAGAATGCAAGTTGATAGAAGTCATCAATATAGAATTTGAAACATTCACAGCAATGTAAATAGCAAATTGAAAATGAATGTCATACAGATGTCTACTGCTGTGTTTATGACAAATAGTAACTACATATTAATTCAGAGCCTCAAGCTATATACCTGTATGCATAAAATGTTTACATATGATGCCCATCAATAAATATTAAAAATCACTGATGGTTCATTCCACAAGTGCAGAAGTTTGCACTAGCATTTCAATCTATTAAAATATACTACTTCATGCATTTAAGTCAATTTTTAATTATAGCCATTTATGTTAAAAACACTTTTTCAGTAGAAAGTGAACAAAGGCTATGAATAGACAGTTCACAGAAAAAGAATCACAAATGACTGTCAAATACATGAAAGAAAATCTTTCATTCTTTACTCATAATAAGAGAAATTTCTTATATAAAATAACAACTTTGACCTTTCTGATTTGCAAAGACACAAAAGATTAACAGCATATTTTTCCTTCAACAACTATTTTCTTATTCCATGTGCCTGTCACTGTTCTAAGTGCTGAGGATATGCCATCAAGGAGAAAACAAAATAAATAAACAACAAGAGACTCCATTTGCACGGAGCTCATAATCTGAAAGGTGGCAAAAGAAATATCCACAGTGATAGTATATTTGGGTACAACTTCCATAGAGACCAATTTGACAACATCTTTTAAAACTACAAATACGCATGCTCTTCTTTGATAAAAGCAATTTTGCTTTTAACACTTTTCCTACACATATATTTATAGAGGTACAAGACGGTATGTATGAATTTAATCATTGTGGCCTTGTTTTTGTTAGCATAAGATTGAAGATCATCTAAATTCTCTAAGTAAGAGATGGGTGGTATATTAATAAAATGGAATTTGACAGATGCATTTTATTTAAAAAAAGCTCTCTAAAAACCAATACTGAAAACTCTCCAAAATAAACAAATTTAAAAAAATCTGTCTGAAGAAATAAATGTATTTGTTTATATGTATCTATGCATAAAATATCTTTGGAAGGATATCCAAAAAACTAACAACATTGATTAAACAGGAAGGACAAACAGAAGGAATACATTTCCCTTGCACACTTTTAGCCTTTGAGTCATATGAACATACCATCTACTCAAAGAAATACAGATAAAAGCAGGCACTTCAAAATTAATCTTTGAAAAATAGTGCCATTAATTTTAAAAACTGTGTATTTTGGAATTAAGAACTTTACAAGGAAATGAAGGTTTTGGTAGGTTTTTCATAATTTGAGTAACACCCACCGTGGAGATGAAGAATGAGACCTGTCTTGAACTTTGGATCTGAGTGTAAGAGACTGAACGGTAATAGAGTAAGAATTTGCAGACCAAGTTGCGCACCCGCTGCTCTGAACAAGCACATACCTAACTTAATTCTTCTCACTTTAAATTCATTGGCAAACTTTTCAAGTTCCCGGATTTCTGGAGAATCCATGTCTATTGGTTCTTCCACCAACTTGCTTTTCCGCCTGAGCTCCTGCTTGAAATCAGCGGCTGTGGGGTCCTCCGGCAGGAGAGGCTGGTGCATGGGGGGAAAGCCATGACTCAAGGCGTGGTCGGGAAACTTATAAAGACAAGGGGTTAAGCTGCCTGGAACAAGAAAAGGAAAGGACCATTTGTCGTTATCCCCCATTTCTGTGCATGGTAGGGTTTGGCTCATAAGAGCCCCCTATTCTGGGACAGCCAGTCTCAATTCTGAAAGGTTACATGACAGTCAGGCTTCTGAAGTAGACATCAGAGTAATTTAATATAAATGCAATGATTTATGATTTCCACCTTCCTCAGAGCAGCAAAAACAAAAAGAATACAAAGCCAAAGGGAAGAGGCAGGGACTTGCAAATAATTAAAATAGAAATAAGCAAATTTCACCAAAGTGTGAGTTTTCCTTCATTTTTTTTCTCTTAAAAGACATTTACTCCTGGGAACCTCCTCCTGAGGTTCAACTCTTACCAGAATGTGTATTTTTATCTCTGTTTTCTGAATTCACTGAACAGATAATCTATGATGTTTGTTATAATCAAGGCACAGGGCTGGGAAGTTTTTTTAATATTGGAAAATTGATACTGTAGTATTAGGAAGCCCCACTATTTTATCAGTAAATGCTTAATTTCAAGGGGAAAGAATCGTGTCTGATTTTAATTTAGCAAAGGCAGGTAAAAAGAAAGATTATGAGAATCTAAAATACATTAATGTGGTGAAATAACTTTGAGGAGTAACAGATATTAACAAAAAGTTATTCTTAAAGTTCTATTAAAAAGTCAGCAACAAGATTCCTTGAAAAGTATAAAATATAATAGTATCATCTCTTGATTATTATTTAAGAAACAAAAGTAAGTGGCAAGGAAGGGTGCAATTCTAGATATGACAGGTAGATATGACATACATGATGAAGCATTGAGTCCATTGCATGAGTTAAAAGACAAATCACAGAAAACTAAAAGATCTAATTTTTCAATTGCTTCTAGATTTCATTCTTCATTTGAAAAGAAGAGTCTCTCTCAGCTGGGGAGCATGGGTGAGAGGATGTTTTAAGCCAGGTTCTCACTCATTTTATTTATTTTCTTCATCAGTACATAATATTTTTATTGATAGAGATTTCACTTCAATTTATAGTAAATGACACATGTATAACCAAGACATTTGGGTATAAATAAAATATTCAGCAATCAAGAATTTTCTTATGAGTATAAATAAATATTTAAACTAAAAATAAATTACTAGAGAATATATGCAATAATTATTCTTAGAAACTTACTGAAAAATACATCCAATTTATGCTATCTGTAATCTTTCCATAAATACATCCACAAATCAGACATGAGTAATAGTGCATTTTGCCAGAATATATAAATTTTACATTAATATATCAATATATAATGAGAATGGAATAGTGGAAGTCAGCAAATTGTTGACTTATATTATTTATATGAGAATATGTGATTAGGAAGTGTACCCCTAGCCAATAGACTGTTTGACTTTTCTGAAGCAAAATACACATGCAAGTGAGAGATTAAACAAAATAGTATAAAATAAATGTAGCTGTTTCACAGTGTAAAAGTATATATAAAGGAAACTATTCTACCATCTAGAACAATTCATGCTACTTTTACAAACCCAAATTACCCAGCTTTACTTTTTAAAGGGTCACTTTACACTTTAGTGGGTGGTATACTGATCAGACTAGATAAAATGTTAAAAAGTAATTGTTTTGATTTTTAATTTATTACATAGCTCATTTTAGAAAATGTTTATTGTCTTTGGGGTTCATTTTTAGCTTTTTGTTAGTTTTAGATTTCTTCTAGTTGAAATAAAAGACTAATATATATTAAAAAAACTAATCACATTTATTTTAACATCTGCTTAATAATTATCTCAAGACTTTTCTTTTGCTTTGGCTTTCAGAGTTGGTTCTTACACATACGTAAAAACCTTCACTTCTTTCATCATCCAGAAATATCACATGTCACTTATTACATCTAATGATGAAATACTCTGAGAAACAATAAAAACAGATAGAAGAAAACGGGCTGCTGTTTGATTTTGCACACTCAGTGTATTTTAAAGCATTTTAGATAAGTCATTTAACTTATGTCAAAGTATTTTTATTTACATAAATAATTTGTTGCCTGTCATTTACATGAGATGCCATAAGGACTGAATTTGTTAGCAGTCTTGACCATTTTCAAATTTTCTTGCTGATAATCATAGTCACACACTGCTACAAATCTACAGACTATTTTCATTTCACATTTATCATCTTATCCTTATATAAACAAATAAGGTAGAAAAGATATGTATTTTTTACTCACAAGTTAAAATCTAAGTAAAAATAAGTTAAATAACGCTCCTTGGGTACTATGATGGATTCACTATTATAGTTTGAAACTAGAACTGAAATCCAGTGAACTTTGCAATAAACCACATCAAAAGAATAACCTAGTTCATTTTTCAGGTAGTCTATACTGAGAGAAATCAAATAACTTAAAGACGTATGCAGTTTAAACACATTCAGCTACATTAAACAAATGCTCTCAGACAAAATATTATAATTACTTATTAAATATTGGAAGTGTGCCATCTCTATTTCTGGAAAATTTTAAAGGTAGTTTATATATACATTATAAATACTCTGGAAAAATGGACATTTAGAAAAAACGTTTTAACATGAGTCTATAAAATAGACACAGGAAAATACCACGTTCCCATGTTTGACAATCCACAGAGAAAAGGAAAACACAATGTGTGAGATCTTATTTTTCATTAAATGAAAGTATTCACAATTAGCTGCAGGGACAGTTTTCCCGGAACTAACCTTAGAGAGAAATTCATGACAGTCACAGGCACAGCCAAACTGCGGTTTTTATCATAGGACCTTGTATTTGGGGGAGAGTGGGAAGTAATCCGTATGGTATGTCTAAGATATTTTAAAATTTTTTTCTAAAGCCTGGATTATTGAAAAAGAGAGGGAAAGAAGGAAGAAGATAAAAGACGTGGTGAGTCGGGTGCAGCAGAAGTCCCACGATCAATTTCCAAAGCACCGATTAAGCAAAATTGTCTATAAGCCTAGAACAAGCGCACACCTAAATAGCTCAGACGTGTCTGCACAGCCCAGCGTATCTTTTCCCACTGCAGATCTACCCACCACAGCCCTTCTGAACTGCTCTGCGTGTGCATCTGTGTGGCAGAGGTGAGAGCATAGAGGTAAGTCTTTTCAAGCAGGTGATGGGGAAGCCGAGGTCCAGCCTGCCTTGCAGGGACCTGCTCCAGGTCCCATGATAGGGGCCAAACTGCTCTTCTGCAGAAGCCGGTTCTGCCAGATGCTGACTGACAATACCTCTGAGGTTAAGGGCTTGAAGTCTTAGAAGAACAAACAGGGGAAGCGGAGGGACACAGTAAAATACCCCCATCCTGCTGTAGACATGCATAGAAAAGGGTATTTCCATTTCTTTTTTTTTTTTCCTTCACGCATGACGGCGTGAAACAAATCATGAATTGGAATTGCGAATTTTTTCTCTTTTGTGCATTAGTACATCCTATCCACGGATAACAGGGGTCCTCTGCCTGGTTTTGTAAACGAGGTTGACTTGGCGCACCGCCACGCCCACGTCTCCATTCGGTTATGGCTGCTTTACCATCACCGAGTTGCGTAGCTAAGAGAGACTAGAAAGTTGAGAGAAAATACGTCACGCTAGAGCTACTGAAAGTCCTTTCATGATCCTGAGGCAAAAGATGGTTAGAATTAGTCCTTCCTTTAGTGTTAACACGACCAGAATGAATTAGAGAAAAATGAAACTTAAATAAAACAAAAAAAAAAGAAAAAAAAGGAAAGAAAAAAAAAAAAAGACAACTTAAGAACAAAGAGATGGGCTCCAAAGTAGACTGTTTCTCTGTCGCTGTCAAACACATTCTGTTACCTTTTGTGTTAGCCCAGGAGGAAAGGGCACTTTCAGCCATACTAACCTTTCTTTTATTATCCATTTCTCATAAAAAAAGAGCATTCATTCATCTTCGTGATTAATTCCAGGCATCAGCTATTTTGTTTTCCTCTTAAAATTAATCTGTAAACAAGGACGTCTTGGGTGGTCGTTAACACCACATAACCTTGCTGGGTTTAGCCATCATCGCTGTGTCCGGTTTACTCAGTTTCCACAGGACAGCGGACAAGGCACACAGCTCATTAAGCTTGTTTTCTAACTTGGACGCAGCTTTGGAAGCTGGAGAACAGACCCAATCTCAGATACTCAGGAATAAGAGTTTTGAAAGATTTTTGTTGTTCTCTTGTTTTCTTTTGTGTTTATCTAGATGAGATTTTTGAGTAGTATGTATAATTTCCTATTTCCTGGTATCTATACTATAGGCTATTGAATTATCTAAGTTCTTGGGAGGCAAGAGACAGAAGAAGGAATCTAGCTGCAAGTTTATCTGAAGGGAAGATCGAGGAGAAAGTCAGGCTGAGTTGGTACAGATTTGCCACAACTCAGCTCCAGCAGAGCTGTGGGACCCACGGCAACCTGGATATGAAGAGACTGACACTCTGAGTTGTTAAGTGACTTGAACAAGGTTTGTAATTAGTTCCCGGTGTGACTAATTTAGTTCTCCCAGTCATTCTCTTTGATATGCCCACATCTGGACTATGAGGCACAGTGGATTCATCTGATGATGAAAGTCCTCCCAACCAACCTTCACAAAATATTCGCTATAGCTCTTGCCTTCCAGTGGGTTATTCATTTAATGAAATGCTCAAAGTAAATGCAAGCATCAGAGTGTGGTGATAAAATAACCATATTCAAATAAAGCAATTTCATACCCTTTGAAATATTGTTCTTTTCACAGCGCCCCTTTTTCGTGGAGTGTGTGACAATGAACCTGTCGGCTGTTGATAAGACACTTCTGTGGATTGTGTGGAAGTGGTTGATTTGATGAATGCCTTGAGAGTTCTCAGAAAATTCAAATGACATAACCAGGCTTCTCTTGTGTATTTTATACCTCTGCTATTTTACTTTTGAATTGCTGTGTTTTATAACGCAGTTTGTGTAGCTTCTCTGGGGATAACGGCAGAAGGGTTCAGATTCCCTGAGATTTAATCTGCCACGATGCAAAGGCTAATGTGAATGTATGTCAAAAATAGTGACATCGTAACAAATTATAAAGCACATCACATTTCAATGGTCTCCTTCTCAAAAAAATATTCAAATATAATCTCCATGCTTTCCATGGTGAGGTTTTCTTTCAGTGACAAAATATATTTAATTTCGTTTAAAGACTACCGCGATAGCTCCAAATCTTAGGACAAACATTGGGCTCTTGATTGTCGCTAACCCAGGCTTTGAATGATCTTAATGGACTTCTCCAGGACCCTCTCCTTTTTAACTGTAATGAGTACGAGAGTTTGCTGAGTACCTGCCGAGGGAACTCGTGCCAGCCTGAGCCTCCTGCGGACTCTCATTGTGAACCTGGGCCTGTTCTCCCCGATCCGGGAAACCGGAAGGATGTTAGATTCCTCAGGCCAGCTGTGAACTCACCAGGCCAGCAGCCAGCAGCCTCGATCTGGTGGGAGGGCGGTGGTGGCAAAAAACCTTCTTAAAGTATTCGGTCTGTAGCTGATTTTATCTCTGCGCTTGCTGGGTTTAGGGGGCGCCTGAAGTTGCACCTGGGTTCCTGGGAATTACCAAGAAGGAGCAGCACGCGGCCAAGAGCTTGTCATTTCTTTTCTCCATAATCAAAGTGTGGTGGAGGCCACAGAGAGCATTCTGCCTGCACCTCTAGTGGCGAAATGCGCGTCATTCTACTCTTTTATTATGAAAGCAGTTCATCATCAGCGAGGGCGGTTCTCATTAACCACGAATACTGATTAACTGCTAAGAATATGAATCATAAATGATCCACTTTCAAAGGGAAAGAGAAAAATATGGCTTTCTTTATTTCTTAATTATTAAAAAGAGACACTAGGATTTACAGGAGACCATTAAGAACATCAGTTTTCATTTTACCATCAAGGTGAGGATACTATTTTATTCAGAACGCCTCAATAGAAGTTAAAGGAACCTAATTTGTTCGGGAATATCTAATTTTAAAGTTTTAAAGTTTTATTTAGTCTTAAACTGAGAAATTGAAGTTTGGTGAACTAAATTCTTTAATTTTATTTCAAATTTATAGACATAAGTCCATGTTTGATTTTTTATTATCTACTCTGGATAACAAAACACAAGAAAAGATTTCCCTAATATGTGATTCCTTTATCCAGAGTTTCTCTCTCAATATCCCACAAGTGTGCATGTACACACACACACACACACACACACACACACTCTTATAGTCGCACGTAGAGCTTTAGTAGTTTATTGTCACCCACAATATTTCTCTCCCTGCTGCAGTAATAAATAAAAAAGGTTAAAGAATACCTAAAAAATTCTGTGCACAACAAAATTGTTTCTCTGGCCATGTCCTAAAACTGCCGTAAGTTTTGTGATAAGTGGATCTGTTAGGTCAGATTTTCCTTTTCCTTAAGAAATGTGCCTTCGAGATTTCCATACAAGTAATTAATCTTGGTCTAGTGATGACCTACTTATCCAGAGGGAAAAAAGATATGTAACTTTCAACTATTTCAGTCTCATTTAAGACTCAAAAACAACTCAGAAACGGCTGACAAATACTGAAACAACTATCACTAAAGTAGCTGCAAATCACTCTTAGCCTTCAATGTCTTATTTATCTTCATGGACCAAATGTCCAGAAGAAATATTGCCATGAGGGGGAGGTCCTGTAAATCTGTTCTGTCTACTTTGGTAGCTGCATAAGGTTATCGAGCACTTGAAATGTGGCCAGTGCAACAGAGTTTTAAATTTGACCTTATTTTAGTTCAGTTTCAGTTGCATTTAAATTTAAATAACTACATGAGGTTAGTGCCTACTGTATTATTACTGGAGGCAAGCCCACCAACGGCATAAACAAGTAACAATCAGCAGCTTGGCAGTAGTGAATCAGAATAAAAATCATACATTATCATTCTAAGTGAAGTAAGCCAGAAAGAGAAAGAAAAATACTATATGATATCACTTATATGTCAAATCTAAAAAAAAAAAAGATACAAATGAACTTATTTACAAAACAGAAACAGACTCACAGACATAGAAAACAAAATTATGGTAACCGGGGCAGGGAGTGGGAAGGGATAAATTGGGAGTTCAAGATTTGCAGATACTAACTACTATATATAAAATAAATAAACAAGTCTCTTCTGTATAGCACAGGGAACTGTATTCAATGTCACGTAGTAACCTATAATGAAAAAGAATATGAAAACAAATGTATGTATATGTATGACTGAAACATTACGCTGTACACCAGAAACTGACACAACATTGTAAACTGTCTATACTTCAATAAAAATAAAAAATAAAAATATATAATTATTAAAAATAGAATAAAAATCATACAAAGCAAACACAAGAGTTAAGAAGCATCACAGTTCAGGGCTGTGTACAGTATGGGCAATCGAGTATAATCATTATGATCTCTGAAGACATCATTATGATCTCTGCAGACATCACAGATCAGGGAACATTTCAAAACACAGTGGTTTAACCAGCAATTTCCAAGGTGAAGCGATCTGAATTTCATGATACACTCTAGTCAAGATTCCCTCAAACCCAGGAAATCCATCTAAGTGTCCCCAACTCAATCTCATATGTGAAGACAATTTTTCTTACCTGCCATCACTCCATAGGTTGATGACTGGTTCCCATAATGACAGGAAGGAACAGAATAATGAAGTCCTGTTGCTGTGTTTCCCAGTGTCGTCATCAAGAAATATGTGCACAAACATTTAGGAGTTTGAATCAAAGACAAAACAGACGGGACTGGTAAGAAAATGTATGAGGATTCAAGACACATTCATTTCATTTCAAAAGTATACATTTATGTGATTATTAAAGTTACATGGCAATAATTTGTTCTCATATGAGGGAAGTTCTCTGATGAGTAGGTAAAAACTAGATATTGAAATTTGTCTCAGATAATGAGATCATGACCCATCAAAGTGGACTATAGCCTTCATTAATTATATCCAGTGCTCCACATTAGGGTCACTGACTGGATTGAACCTTGGCTAATCGAGAGTTGCAGAATTCTTGCAGCTTTCACTCAATATAGACATTGCAAAGAACTGACTAGAGGACAGTCTCTTGTATAACATGGTATTATAAAGTAGTTTTTTTCTGGAACAATAAATCAGAAATCAACTCTTCGAACAGTCTTTACTTTTGTTTATTCGCCTAATAAATTTCTTCCAGCAGAGGAAATGGCAGAGCAATTAGCCTTTTATTGGATACAGCCATAGAAATCTCACTAAATTCAGAGATTTATGAGAAACCTGTATGATGGACGTAGGTTGAAGTTGAAACCATGAGGTTGTACATTTTCTGCATGCACACAATTAATTTAATAATTCTAATGATAAAGCTGGTCAAAAATAAGATCATTGACTATTGAGTGACTTGAGGTCTCCAAAGGTTGAATCTGATATATAAACATAGCCTCACTAATAAACAGCTATGTCTCATAGAGGTAATGTGTAATTTGAAAGTAAATTTGAATTACTAAACTTTAATCAAAGTTTAAACATAAATCATCACTTTGACTAAGGAAATAAGACTCTTGACAATAAAATCTTAAGCCAGTGTTTGCCTATATATTTTATTTTCTCTTTTTTTCCATCATATCCTGAATATAGTGGTGGATTTTCATAAATATAATTGTATCTCCTTGAATAAATATGAGATATTATAAAGTTTAGATTTAGAATCCTTTGAAAATATTGAGATGTACTCTAGTGACTAAAGACATGAAGTCTCTTTAGAAAGTAAAACAAATTTTCTCTAACTATAGCTCAATTTTTAATATTTTAAAAATCTGTGTAAATTTTCATTTTACACCTGACACGTAGTGAGAACTGAAGTCATTTTACATTATTATGATTACTATGCATTCCAAAATTAAACAAATAAACATGAAACACATTTAACATTCAAGTGCTATTATAATCAGTATATTACTAATTCCTTACTTAGGCAATTAGATGTATAGGATTACAATTTGATAGAAAAATTAAAAATTTAATGCTATGCTATTTAAAACACATTAGGTCATTTTTACTGATTATGAATTTCTTTTACTTCCAAAGTTTAAATATTTTCTGTTTCTCTGATTTGTGGGAATTGTATAAAAGCCAGGCTAATATACTAAATATCTTATTTATTTTTAAATAAATAAATAAATAAGGTTTTGAGCCTAAACTTGCTTAACTACTACCTCAATTCTAAATTTTATTTTTATTCTGGCCAAATACTATCCACACACAGTAGATTAAACAAACAACGCATTATTCTTCTCATCCCAACTTCTAGAAAGATCTATTATTTAAAATATACAATTAGCTATGTGATAATTATTTAAATTTATTTATACCACAACTCTTTGATAAAAAAGACTTTATCACATTTTCCTAAAAATATGTTTGAGGATATTTTCATTAGTATATTTTAATTAAATTTTGAGAATCTTTAGTAGATAAAAAAAATTCTGCATTAATAATTCTATCAAAGACTAGATATATGATCTCTTGACACTTTAAAATTTGGCTGAAGATGAATGCCAAATTTACATATATGTTTGGAAGCTGCTTAATATATTGAAGATAACACTTAAATATTTTAAATCATCATAAAATATATCAACTCAAATTTTGATTTTTAAATGTATAAAATTAGTTCATATTTAGATTGCTTTTAAAACAAGTGGAAAGTGAATAGTATGTTGCTATTAAACAAAAGACGTTTACTCAGCTTGAATTTTTTATAAATCAACTTCAAAACACTTTGTTACTGCATAAAACTGGACACATTAACAAAACATACTTATCTGCTTGAGTGTGTTTGAGATAATATATTTGAATTCATAAGTTTAATTTTCACTTAAAAAAGTTAAGTAAGAAAACAATAAAACTTGGTTAGACATTGAAATCTCTTCAGAACTCAATTTTGAGAAAAATTCAACTCAGTTCATGGGCTCTAAATGTTATATTGCTTCTATATTTGATTTCTGAGTTTTTAGTTATGCTAAAAAGGCAAGTGTATTAAAACATTTAATTATTTAAACATTTAATTATTTTTGGAAATCCATCGTTGTTGGTATTGGGGATCATTTAGCTGTGTTGTTTTTAGTCATGGTAGTAAATATAACCTAAAAACCAAATAAATCTCTAAGATAAAGAAGTAACATCTTTTAGACACTAAATTATTTCACACTGTTTCTTCAGCTTTGCTATTTATACTTATATGTTTACATAAAAATAGTTTTCATATTAAAAGTAGCCAGACTCATTGTTTACTTATGTAGAAAACAGATCTTTATAATAAAACCAACAGTGATCGAAATGACCACACTTACTAATACTTCTTGAAAATTTTCTTAGGCATTTTGGCTTCTTTAATATCCTTAATATTTAACTTAATACAAAATTAACATGAAGGAGAAAGTAAAAGAAGCAAAGAGATTCTGAACTAATAAGATTCAGAGCATCCTCCCCGACATCTTTAGGGCCAGCCACATGTAGACCGCTATTGGAGCCCGTACCTGTGGACATCACGTTGGTGGCATGGTTGGAGACTGGTAGGCACTCGGCAGCGCTGTGGTGCATTATCAGAGGCAGAGTTGCAGAAGACTCAGAATTCAGAGGTATAAAGGTATCAGCCGAAGTAAAAGGTTGGCAACTCATTCCCACAAGAGAGTTGAAAAATGAGGAGAAATGCTGCTCCCCTAGTCAGAGTTTTATTATATTACCATCTCAAAGGGCCGTTTCAAATCTCACTACCTGCATATATACATCAGGGAGGCGCTGAAGCACCAGGAGGGCGCGTGCTGGTATTTATACTGCAGGGAAATCCCTTTATACATGTTAATCGTCTTTTCCCAGGGGTATTGCTTTATCAATCTGGACCGTCTTCCTTCTTCCCCAAACATCATCCATGCCCCAGAGGGGAAGCTGATTCTTGGGTACAGACTGAAGACAAGAGAGAAATATGAAACTTTATTTGACAACTTCAGATAAAAGTGTCCCTCAAAGAAATAAAGCTACAATAAATTAAAAGGTACTAAGTGTCTTTTTGCTACTAGTACAATGACAAACTTATACATACGAGATTTTTTTTGAAACTTCTCATTAAATATGAAAAATAACCAGCCACCTAATTTTAAGAAACTGAGTTTTTAAGTTTAAACTGAAAGAAGCATAGAAAACTAAACATGAGAATGAATGTATTACCAACTACTGATTCACACTCAATATAATTTTGAAAAACTATAAAGAACAATTGGCTTTTTACTATATTATAAATAAAAATGGTAAACTATTGAATAAAATTTTGGTAATTTGTAGAGAAGATAAAAATGAGGGATAGCATTTCTCTCTTGATTTCAAGTTTCTCATGAAGAACGTACATTTAGTAACCTCTTACTAGATGTCGACACTGTTCTAAGGCACTTTGCATGGTTATGTCAGCAAATCTCACAATGTCTCTGTGAGATCTGCTCTATTCTCCCTAAGCTGGACTGTGTCAGAGCCTCTGACCTTAGCCATCCCACTCCAGAATCTGCACTGGTGCAAACTTTCCACACAAACTATACTGGCATTATAAGAGAATGAAAAAAAATAATTTACTGTTCCAAGTTATCTTGAGACATTTCATAATATGAAATTTCAAAAAAAATCTAATGAAACATGATCCTTGCTTACATGCATAAAATCTATGCCTGTCAGGTTACGGCTGGTTGCTATACCATTCCCTAGTCTACATTTTAAAGATAGTATTGCATTCATTCATTTATCTTTAGAAACCATGATCATTGCGAAATAGTGATACTGATACTTATCTTCAAATCAATTGTTTGTAGTACATTATTTTTTTCTATTCTAAAAGTGACATATTCTTCATTCTGAATTCTCTATCTTTGAATTTTTATTAGTCTTCTCTAGTGAGAGAAGAAGGTTAGAGGCAATCAAAAGTATTTCACTCTTGCAGAGTTCTTGTAATTGTTAGATTTCACATGTACAAAAAAGTATTTTTTTCAATGTGTTTATAAAGAGAATTTGCTAAGAAAATTAAATAGTCTATAGGACATCAAATATTTTAAAATTAAGCTGAATGATATTTAGGAGGAATAGCACTTGAAATCTGTCCCTAATAACCTTTTTTTTTAAGTTTTTGCCTGGAATAGCAACAAAAGACTTCCCCAGTAGTTTGCCATACTACCTGAAATTCTAAAATTACAATCTTAGACATAATTTCCTTAATAATTGTTCTAAAATTTTTAACTATTTGTGCTATAAGGTACAAACCAGACTTAAAATTGTGTAAAGCCTGGAAGTAGGTGTTCCCATTATAGTCTTCTCACTTGGTGATATAAACCATAAACTATTAATTTATCAAATTTTAAATCAGCTTTTGTAAACAGTTTTAATTTTGCACAGTATTGATTTGTATAGCCCTATCATATTTTAGCCATTTCTTTATTGTTGGCTGTTTGTGTTGCTTTTCACTTTTACAAATAACAATGCAGTTAACTCTGTCCAAAATCTTCGTTTTTAAAACATAATGCATTTTTACACTTTATCTGTAGGATTATTTTGAATATCACTCCCCCACTTAAAATAGACATTACAAATGGGATTACTCAGTCTGATTTATGAGATTTTTAAAGTTCTTGAAAACATTCTCAAATTGCTCTAAAAAAAGATATTTTTTAAAGGAGTTTTAGGTTCACAGCCAAGTTGAGCAGAAGGTACTGAGGGTTCCTGTATGCACCGTGCCCCGACACACACACAGTCCTCCTCTCTGTCGACATCCTGTACCCGGGTGATACATTTGTTACAATTGATAAACCTATGATGATACATCATTATCACCCAAAGTCCATGGTTTACACTAGCATTCACTCCTTTGTAGATTCTACTGGTTTTTGACAAATGTATAACGACTTGTATTCACAATTGCAGTATCATACAGAATAATTTCACTGCCCTAAAAATCCTCTCTGCTCTGCCTATTCTTTCTTCCCTCCCACCCCTGATACCACTGATCTTTTCATTGTCTCCATAGTTTTGCCTTTTCCAGAATGTCTATAGTTGGAATCTCACAGTATGTAGCCTTTTCAGATTGGTTTCTTTCACTTGGTAATGTGCATTTAAGTGTCCTTTTTATGGCTTGGTAGCACCTTTCTTTTTAGCTCTGAATAATATTCCATTGTCTGAATGTACTACAGTTCATCCATTCAAGAACTGAAGGACATCTTGTTGCTTCTAAGTTTTGGTGATTGTGAATAAGTCTGCTGTAAACATCTGTGTGCAGGTTTTCATGTGGACATAAGTTTCAGCTCTTTAGGGTAAATACCAAGGAGTGAGACTGCTGGATCGTATGGTGAGAATATGTTTAGTACTGTAAGAAATTGCCAAACTCTATTCCAAAGTGGCTGTACCATATTGTGTTCTCACCAGCAATGAATGAGACTTCTTGTTGCTCCACATCCTCGTCAGCATTTAGTGTCATCAGTATTTTGGATTTTGGTCATTCAGGTAGGTACGCAGTGGTATTTCACTGTTGTATTAATTTAGTATTCTCTGAAGGCATATGATGTTGAGCATCTTTTCATATGTTTATTTGCCGCCTGTTTATCTTCTTCAGTAAATCGTTCAGATCATTTGTCCTTTTTAAAACTGGATTGTTATTTGTTCTTATTGTTGAATTTTAAGGGTTCTTTGTATGTTTCAGATAACAATCCCTCATCAGATACGTCTTTTGCAGATACCTTCTCCCAGTCTCTGGCTTGTCGTCCAAGTTGCTTTCTCAAACAATTTGTTCTATTATGATTTGGTTTCAAATATAGGAACAAATTGAGCAAAAGAATGGCTGTTTATTATTAGGAGATACAGAGGTTTCTTGGAACTCACGGAGGTCGGGCCATAGAAAGAGACTGAACAGGAAATGAAAGCCATCTGCCATGTCTCTCTGACCTTCTTATCTCCCTTTCTCTGTGTCTCTCACTTTTCTCTTTCTCTACAGCACAGCCTAGGTTGAGTCCATCCAGGGCCACCTCACAGATCTCCAGATCGCACCTTAAGCTTTTAACCAAAGAGATATCTTTGCTGTTTCGCAGTCTATATTTATGAGAGAAACAGGCTGATTGTCCATGACTTTTGTTGTGTTCCAGAAGCACAATATGGTTCCCCATGCTCACACTTGTGAATGAATTGGTTTGCCCTGGAAGGGTTCAGGCATTTGTAGACAATGAGGGATAGATTGTTATCCCTGGAGACACCCTTAAAATGTGACTAATTTGATTCCACAATTTCATAGTAGCACCAGTAGAGAAAACCTGATATTTTTGGTGCATTCTCAATGTTATTACTAAAGTTTAAATACTTAGCTTTATTAGTTTGTTAAGACAACGACGTATGGTTAATTTACCTTGCATCTTTTATTTCTAATATGCTGTTTTTTCATGTTTATATTACCTATTTGTATTTATTATTTCGTTAATTAACAGATACTATGTATTTACCTTTTACTTAATATCAATTAAATTTTATTATCAATTTGTATGTGCTTTTAAAATGTATTAAGAACATTAATTTTCATTGTTTTTATCACTTACTATTAAATTTTTAAAAATTTCTTGTCTTTTAAATTTGCTCTAGACATTGATATGTATATTTTGTTCATAAACTAAATATGTTGATCTTTTCCCTCGTGCATTTCTTAATGATTTTGTTTTAAAATTCTCTTTTGCCTAGAAATTTTGTTTTTGTTTTTGTTTTTGTTGTTTTTTGTTATTTTTAGAGCCTTAAAAAATTCCTCCTAACTTTTTAAGCTGCTACATGCATTATGTTTCTAGAGTTCACTTATTTAAAAATTTTTTCTTCCAGTTTTATTGAGATATAATTGACATATAGCACTATATAAGTTTAAGGTATACAACACAATGATTTGACTTACACACATCATGAAATGATGACCATAATAGGTTTACAGAACTTCCATCATCTCATACAGACACATTAAAGAAATAGAAAAACAAATTTTTTCCTTGTGATGAGAATTCTTAGGATTTACTCTCTGCATATAATGTACAGCAGTGTTAGTTTTTACAATGTTGTATATTACATCCCTAGTATTTATTTATCTTGTAACTGGAAGTTTGTACCTGTCGACTATCTTCATCTAATTCCTCTTTCCCCTAACCGACACCTCTGGTGCCACAAATCTGATCTCTTTTCTATAAGTCTATTTCTTTTTGAAGTGTAATTGACCTACAACACTATGTTAGTTCATGGTATATAACATAGTGATTTGATATTTCTATACGTTCCAAACTGATCACTATGGTAAGTCTAGTTGTCATCTGTAACCATACAAAGATGTTACATAATTATTGACTATATTCCCCATACTATATATTTCATATCTGTGACTCATTTATTTTGTAACTGAAACTTTGTACCCTTAATCTCCCTCACCTATTTCTCCCCTCCTTTCATCTCCCTTCCGTCTGGCAACCACTGGTTTATTCTCTGTATCTATGACTCTGTTTCTCTTTAGTCAAGTTTGTTCATTTATTTTGTTTTCTAGATTCCACATATAAATTAAATCAAAAGTATTTGTCTGTCTCTGTCTGACTTATTTCACTTAGCTTAATACTCTTTTGGTACATTCATGTTGTCACAAATGGCAAGATTTCATTCTTTTTTATGGCTGAGTAGTATTCCACTGTATATATATATATACATTTTATGCATTCATCTATTGATGGGCACTTAATTTGTTTTCATGTCTTGGATGCTATAAATAATGCTGCAATTGAGTTCATTTATAATTACTTAGATACTAATGAAAATTATAGCATAATTTGAAAACTATCAGATAAATAAGAAGAAAAAACATGCTTCAAGTTAAGGTAATAAAAGAAAATACAGCAGGAGGGTCTTGGTCAGGCATATTTGTTAGTCTG